ATTGATCTATGTATTGTGATAAATTTTATGAGCCCCAACAAATTGATTAAAAAAAAGAAAAAGAAATGAGGGTGGCAAGACTTCCTCTTACGTACTTTGAACCTGTCATGGGGGGACCAGTTCCCTGAGAAGGACAGCAAAAAGAGAAAGGCCTTCTACACAATGGATGGACACAGAGGCTGCAGCAAGGGGCTCACGTGACAACAATTGTGAAGGTCGCTCAGAACCAGGGAGCGTCTCAAAGGGTCCCTATGACTGCGAGCCAATACAAATGGCACTGCTTATCTGAATTTAGGAATCATAATAGTACCGAAGCCTCTGGATTGTACAAGCAGTTTGTGGTAAGCTGTTAATGACAAGGTTAGCGGTTAGAACCCACCCAGTAGGGCTGCCTGAAAACGAACTGGGCATCTGTTTTCTTAACAAGCACAGCCAAGCAGTTCTATCTCAACACATGAGGGTGTCGTGAGTGTCAATTGACTCGATAGCAGCAGGTTTGGAGCCCGTCTTCAAACTAGGTCATCCCGGTTCTACCCTCTGCTAAGTATGACACTGAATTTCAAGGTTTGTCATCTCTACATGTATGTAAATAGCCAGAATTTTGGAGGCCTTTAAAAAATGCCAAAGCACTGACAACTAAGTACTTTGTCCCCATGGAAATGCATTCCCTAAGCAAAAGAAAAAAAAATCTCCCAAATTCTTCACCTACATATTTGCATAAATTGGCCAGGCCAAAGACCCCCTAGTAGCCTGATACCAGCTGACGTCAGGAAGGTAAGGGCATGGTCCAATCACATTACTAATGGTTTATTTTCTATCCTCCTCCTACCTCTTCTTAAAAGCTTTATTGTAACTAGTTCCCATTAAGCTCCACCCCTCTCCCCCCCCCCCAGAGTGGTCCTCTTTATGCATGTAAAATAACTGCTCAAAATAAACCCTGTTTTAACGTCTTTGCATTCTGATCATTTTTCACAATATTGTCCATTTTATCTCCCTACAAAGGACATGATTAGAGAAAGTAGAGTCATCAGCATCGCCATTTTTCTCTGTATTCTGAACCAAGGAACAACACTTGGGCATTTCTTTAGATTTGTCAGCACAAAACTGGGCCTGCGGAAAGCACTATGGTAGCATTCAGGTCACAATGAAATACTGGTTCTCTTGTTTAAGACACCGCTGAGTTGGTATCGACTCAATGGCAGTGAGAAGCAGCAGCCTCGGTGGCCATGTGGGGAAACTGTTGGACTACTAACTGCAAGGTTGGTGGTCCAAACCCACCAGCAGCTCCTTGGTAGAAAGATGAGGTTCTGTAGAGCTTTACGACCGTGGAACCCTTCAACCTTCACGGTCAATAAATGGACTTGATGGCCGTGGGTTTGGCTTGGTTCAACCTCGTTTATGGAATCTCTCATTGGTACGACGTCCTTGGCTGCTAACCAAAAGGTGTGAGTCTATCCTGAGACAATCCTCCAGTGCCTCTGAAGAACGTCCTGGAGAGCAGCCATTAAAAACTCCATGGAACATTGCTAATCTTGACATCCACAGAGCTGTCAGAGCTTGCAATGGATTCAAGGGCAACTTCCTTCATACTCATTAGACACCATCCAGTCAGCTAAAGAAGGCTCACTTCTTAAAACCCAAAAGGAAGTTCTTGCACTTTCTCCTTAAGGTAGAATCGAAGATTCCTCTTTAATAACATGCACACAAGAGTATTTTATGTCTTGTTGACGCGGCAATGTTTTTCTTCAGGTTAGTTTTTCAGCATTACTTTTTAACTAACAAAAGTCATCTGTTAAAATGCATTTTAATTCCTCTTTTCCTCCATACAAAATGATCTTTTAAATTCAAATAAAGACCAAATTATAAAAATTCACTCCTTTAAAATATTTATCAAATTAATCTGATGAATAATAAATTGTTCAGATCTTAGGTTAGTTCTTGTAATGGATAAAATTATATACCCCAAAATATGTGTTGAACTCCTAATCCCCTATGCTTGTGAATGCAATACTGTTTGGAAATGGGGTTTTCTTATGTAAATTAATTCATGACCACATAGGTAGTGGATTTTAAATTTAATCTATCCTGCTCTGACTTACAAGACACACACGCAGGAGACAAACACCATCTGAGGATTGTCTACAAACCAAGGAATGAAGGAATCCTGGGACTACTGACAAAGAAGGGCCAGGCGTGTCTGAGATCCTGATCTGGACTGGTAGCCTGTAGAATTGGGAGAAACTAAATGGTGTTGCTGACAGCTTCCCACGGTGGCATTTGTGCTACACAAGCACTCAGACATTAAGGTCGTTTCTTTCTATTTGTCATTTTATGTCAGTATACTGGAGATTAAATGATGAAATGCTGACAAATCAATTGCAATAATAATAAATAAATAAATAAAAGAATGAATAAAGCCCGTCTTAGTGCACCCCCAGCTCAAGACATGGTTTTTCCACTATTCAGGAGATAGAATTAATATCATCAGACGCCTGTGAAACAAGTATTCGGAAACTATTTACTATACTCAGTTGCTTATAAAATGACTCATCTAAATGTTCTTTTTATGCATTGTGTACTCCTGCTATTCTAAATATTTGAATACTCCAACTGACCAAATAATAATATGATATAACCAACAAACTAAAACCTCTGCGGTGTTTGTTGATGCTGAGGCTGATGACCTTGGGTGCTACAGAGGGGAACTGCTCCCTGAGGCGTTCTCGACAATGGTCTTTACTGAAGATGAGGTCACCAGTCCTCTCTTCTGTAGCACTGCAGGAGAGATTTGAACCCTCAGCCTTCCGGGCAATCCCTTTGAGCCACTCGGGGACCTAATGCCATCGAGAGATAATCTATTTCCAAAGAATCATAATTTTGAGCAGAGAGTAAGAATGTAATCAACATAAATCGAGGAAAAAATAGATGGCCAAATAACTCCATGATTCACACACACATTTTCTTTCATTATAATTTGTTTCCCTAATTATATGTAAAATGTTCCTTTAATTGTGATTTTGCATTTTTACCCACAGTTTCTGTTTTTATTTAATGTTTTTTCATGCCTACAGTTTAATGGTTTGAAACTTGGTGTAGCATACTTCAATAGGTACTCGTGCAGCTATTGAGTTGATTCTGCCCCATAGTGACTCTATGGAACAGAGCAGAACACCCCTGTGGGTTTCTGAGGCTGTGACTCTGCACAGGAGCAGAAAGCCTCCTCTTTCCCCCTTGAAGCAGCTGGTGGTTTCAAACTGCTGAACTGAGCAGCACAACATGTACCACACAGCCCCCACGCCACCCCAGGCTCCGTGACTGCATAGAGTGAATATATTTGATCTCTCTTTGCAGGGAAGGGGAGAATTTAATGTCAAAGTCTCTGGGCCCAGGGTTATAAATATGAAATCCTTCATGGGCCAGCAGACTACGGATGAGTGCCTATGCTAAGAATGCTAGAAACGCATAAGGAAATCTGATTTCGACTAGCTTCAGGGATGCGCAATTGATGGAAAATATGCTGGACACATTGCCAGAATGAGGCAGTTTATCCGTGCTAAGTGTGCTCAGAGACAGGTAAGATCTCGGTAAGTGAGCAGTCAGGGAATGCATGCCGAATCGGAACACAGGCACCTTTCACAAGACCAGCACATGAAAACCTTTCTTCAATATTAGAAAACATCTCCAAAAAATGTCATCATCTTAATGGTATCCTTAGCTACTGGGTTAAAAAGAAAAACTTTTGTAAGATAGGTCATATCTCTAAAACATCATCAACTTTATTACGGAAATATAATAAAATTCAAATGTCATTCCTCAAGACAATAAGAAACAATAATGATAGCAACCAACCCATGTACCAAAAATACCCGACCAAAAAAGCAATCGCCTAGAAAGCAGGTGTGAATACTATCTTTTGAACTCAGAATGAGTTTTAAACAATTGAACGACACCCCCCACCCCCACCCCACACCCCTTTCTTTTGAGACTGGACTTGATAGAGTGCGTGGCAGAACGTCTGGCTAGAGAACAGTTTTTTGCATGGTGTGTAACGTCCTTTAAGGCCCTATCATTATTGACATTGCTGTGCAGTTGGCTAGAGCATTGCTCAGGGCTGCACAGTGCACACTGGTGCATGTCCAGCTCCAGCAATTGGTGACCTAGGAATGCATTTCCGTTCAAAGCAAGCAACAGTTATTTGTATTCTTGAACCATCAGCCATCACAAGTCATTTTGTATAAACATACTTTCCCAGTGTGTAATCAGACTCATCAGTAATTTGCCTCTTCCCCCTAGGCCATCCGGAAATTCTATCATGGAGAAAAAGCTCCAGTGTGCTCTAGTTTCCCAACCCAGCCCCCACACTGACTGTCAATGTTTATTATGTTTTTCTTCTTTCCCTGTTAAAAAAAAGTTGTCCAGCATTCAAAACACACCATAGAGTCTGGATCCCCACTGAAAGACGCAAAGATGAGCACAGGGTGGCTGGATATCGGAGCAGGTAGCAGGGAAACGTTTGAAGGGACGTTTCCTTGCCCACAGCCTGCAGAGGAGGCACTGGGCTAGGTGGAAGACTCCACCTGTTAGTGATGTCTGAGTCTCGGTCCAGGGTCGGAAACGTCCAGAGTCAGAGAGCTCTTTCCCAGCAGTGGGACACTCCTTCAAACTGAGCAGGAAGCCCCTGGGTTACATATAGCCCAACCTAAACTCACGGCCTCAAGCCCATTCTGATTCATGGCGACCCTATAGGGCAGCACAGAACTCCCCCCATGGGTTTCCAAAACTGGAAATTTTGACAGGAGTAGAAAGCCTTGTCTTTCTCCCATGAGTGGTTTCAAACTGCAGCCCTTGGGGTTAACAGCCCAACCCATAACCCACCAGGCCACGGTGGCTCCTTTTTTCAGATTACAGTTGCTATCAAAAGAGCCTACCTCCAGACACAAGCAGGGAAAGATGGAGGCGGTGCAAAGCAAAGGGCAGAGGATAAAACGGGTGGTCTTTACCTGCTGTGATGTGGCTCTGTCTTCCGCCCTCCTGCCTGATCAGTAGGGACAGGGACAGCACAGGGCTGACCTCTTCAGTGGCTTAGCCTGGCCATGTGTGTGAAGCTGCTGGCCAGCTGGGCTTGCTCAAGCCAGTGAAGCTATAAATAAGGCATCTCCAGAGGAACAGCCATCCACAGGAGATAAGAACTCAGCCCTTCTGTTGTACACGCCTTTTAAGGTATCCAAATTAAAGGACCTCAGCCGCAGATGCAAAGGGGCTGCCAGTTCCCCATTTGGTGTGCTTACTTCAAGGACATCCCAGCCCTCTCCCATAGCCCAACTCTCAAAAGAATAGCCCTGGGGGTGGAGACTGGACAACAATCAATAGCAAGGGGTCACACACTATCAGACAAACAGCAGAGCAGACAGCAGCCTAGCAGGCTGACACATGACTGTGTCCCTCAGAGTGAAGACTTGAAAGACAACGGCTAGCTATAAAACTAAGCGGCTGGAGGCGATTGCATTTGCAGGCACAGGAGTGAGAGTCTATTTCCATTAGGCCACATCGTGCCTCTGAGGTCTGGAGTCCTTGGGTGGTTGGTGCAAAGAGTTAACTGGTGGGGCTGCTAACTCCAGGGTTGGAGGTAACTAGTCCACTAGCGATGCCTCAGAATAAAGTCCCGGCGATCTGTTTCTGGACAACCAACTACTGAAAACCCTGTGGAGCCACTTCGACACTCACACATCCGGATGAGTTGGCATGAGTTGAACCAACCCGCTACCAACGGGTGGTTCGGTTATAATGATTGCAGTCAGTTCTTGGTGACAATAATCACGTACATGGGAGTGTAATGGGGTATATATGATTGTAGTCAGTTATACATCATTGTTATCATGAATATAACCTTCACCCACACCCCCAAGACTTGATACATTCTTCCCAAATGGTTTATGTCCTAACTTTTTATTTCCTAGAAATGCAGTTGGCTCATCATTCTTATATGGGATTCAAGAGCCTCCAATTTGAAACTTCTCTGATGATAGAATATATTTAAAGAAAGTTCCCTGTCTCCCTCTCCTCTCTGCTCATGTATAATCATAAGAATGTCTTAAGGTACAAGTAATGTTCTCTATGAAACTAAAGGGAGGGGGAAGACTGATTTGGGGCACAATAGTGCTTGAGTCATCCTTAGTGCCTGATTCTGGAATACGCACTGCAGGAGTTGGTTGGGGGTGTGGGGACAAGCACGAGTTCAACTTCTCTGAAGGACTATTTGGCAGTGGTTGTAGGTGTTGATACAACAATCCCATGTCTGGGAATGTATTGGAAGGAAAGGCTTATGGACATGGGCCAAGAGAGAGCTACAAGGATACTTCTTGAAGCTCTTTTTATAATTGGGAAAAATTGAAACCAACCTGTATGACTAACAACAAAGAATATTTAATGACCTAGAAATAACATGTATGGTGTGTTGGTAATAAAAAGCAGGATTTCCTTTGAGAGAGAAATGGTATGTCTATCTTATATTACTACATCAGATTCTGATTTTCTATAAGGGTATGCACCAAATGTGAAATACTGGTTTTGACTGGATAAAGGGTGGCTGTGTTAGACAGGGTTCTCTAGAGAGACAAAACCAGATTGCTAATAATTTTATATATAGATATATATAGATATAGATATATAACACAAGAAATAAATAGTTAAATTATAAAGCAGTACAAATGGCTCAGTGTAACTCACTCCCGTGAGACAATTGTGAGACACTGGCGTCCTTCAAGTCTTGAGGACTGCCAGGTAGTCCTCTGTAGAGTAATTCAGGCTATCCGGGCACAGGCAGCAAACAGCAAGACAGATCACCAACAGTCAGTCAGATGACAGGGCCCGACAGTCCCCAGCTCAAGATATGTAAATTTCAATTGTGTGGCGAAGCAGGTCTTGAAGGAACCTCAAATGACAGCGACACAGTCCATGGGTTAGGTGTCCCCACGTAGTGTAGTTTGCAAATTGAGGCAAAGAACAAGCAAGGCAGCCGCACACTGGTCCGCTGATCAAAGAACAAGAGACTAGAAAGGCGAGGCTCGCCAAGCCATTTATCTCTCTGCCCTTCAATTAATCCCACATGTATTTATCGGCCAGGTTGGCACAATAAACTAACTACCTCAAGCCACCCCTTGCCAACCTGGCACCTGTACACAATTCTTTAGCCATATATAATTATATAATTCCCAGACATTAATGAAATCACACTTATACTTATCATCAAACACCTATCATACATATAAATGAAAACACACTGAGTCCAATTGTATCTGATAAGGCATACATGAACAAAGGAAAGATATGCAATAAGCACATAAAAAGAAAATACACTGACAATTACAAACCTCGCTTTTGCAATTGATCACGTGGTCATAACTGATAGGTAGAACTACCTCCTTCTACTACCCATTCTGTATTACCTTTGCCCTCAGCAAGCACCTCAACTGGCTGTGGTTTTTTGCCTGGTGGGGTGACCTTCATTCCTGAGGGGTCTGGGTCATTATACGTCCTGTCAGGATTGGGGTGCTATAACTTACTGTTTACTTTAATCACAGGGCATGGTAGCACTAAGAGTCAGCCTATGGGATCTCCTGGATTCCAGACATATTCTCCTTTATCTCCATTATATAACACCAGTCCAATTTCTCCTTGGTAATCAGGATCAATCACACCACTCAGTACAGTGACACCCTTCCTAAGCTGTTGATCCAAAGGCATGAGAAGCCCAAAGTGGCCAGGAGGCATTCTCAGCTGCCAGTTCAGTGGAATCCGTGCTGTGTTTCCGGATGGGAGAGTTCCTTCCTTCAGGACCAGGACCTCCAGGCCTGAGGAACACAGGGTTGATGGGACAGGAAGCAAAAATGCTGTGAGTGGATCACTAGGAGCAATAGGGAGTGGTACCACTCCAACTTCCACCCCTTGGTTCCTGGATCCACGAATTCTGGCTATTGGAGACACAGCACCATATATTGGCCACTGGTTTAGAGCATATACAGCTTCCTGGAGAACATTGCCCCAGCCCCGCAAGTTGTTGCCACCTAGTTGGTGCCATAATTGTGTCTTTAGGAGCCCATTCCATTGTTCTATCAAGCCAGCAGCTTCAGGATGATGAGGAACATGATACGACCAGTGGATTCCATGGGAATGGGCCCATTGCTGCACTGCATTTGCTGTGATGTGAGTTCCTTGATCTGAAGCAATGCTATGTGGGATGCCATGCCGGTGGATGAGGCATTCTGTAGGTCCACGAATAGTAGTTTTGGCAGAAGCATTGCATGCAGGGAAGGAAAATCCATATCCAGAGTAGGTGTCTATTCCAGTAAGAACAAAATGCTGTCCCCTCCATGATGGAAGTGGTCCTGTGTTATCAACCTGCCACCAAATTGCTGGTTGATCTCCCCGAGGAATGGTCCCATATCCTGGACTCAGTGTTGGTTTCTGCTGCTGGCAAATGGGGCACTCAGCTGTGGCAGTGGCCAAGTCAGCCTTGGTGAGTGGAAGTCCATGTTGCTGTGCCCATGCATAACCTCCATCCCTGCCACCATGTCCACTTTGTTCATGTGCCCATTGGACGATAACAGGAGTGGCAGAGGAAAGAGGAGGACCAGTCTCCACAGTGCGTGTTATCTTATCTACTTGAATGCTAAAGTCCTCCTCTTCAGAGGTAATCCTTTGGTGAGCGTTCACGTGAGATACAATTACCTTTACTTTCTTGGCCCATTCAGAGAGGTCTATCCACATACCTCTTTCCCACACCTCCTTGTCACCAATTTTCCAATTATGGTCCTTCCAATTCCCTGACCATCCAAACCAAGCCATTAGCCACAGCCCATGAGTCAGTATACAGTCTCACATCTGGCCATTTTTCCTTACATGCAAACTGAACGGCCAGGTGCACTGCTCGAAGTTCTGCCCATTGGGAAGATTTCCCTTCACCACTGTCCTTTAGGGAAATCCCAGAAAGGGGCTGTAGTGCTGCTGCTGTCCACTTACGAGTGGCATCTGCATATCGTGCAGAGCCATCCGTAAACAAAGCATGACTTTTTTGGTCTTCAGTTAAAGTATGGTAAGGAACTCCCTAGGAGGCCATAGATACAGACTGGGAGACAGAAGGTAATGTGACAGGAATGGAGACTGTGGGCATTTGGGGCACTTCTTCATGCAGCTTACTTGTCCCTTCAGGTCTTGCTATGGCCCGATCGCATATATACCACTTCCATTTAACAATGGAGTGTTGCTGTGCACGTCCAACTTTATGATTCTGTGGGTCAGACAATACCCAGTTCATGATAGGTAGTTCAGGCCTCATGGTGACTTGGTGGCCCATGGTGAGGCATTCAGTCTCCACCAAGACCCAGTAACAGGCCAACAGCTGTTTTTCAAAGGGGGAGTAGTTGTCTGCAGAAGATGGCAGGGTTTTCCTCCAAAATCCCAATGGTCTATGCTGTGATTCACCAATAGGGGTCTGCCAAAGACTCCACACTGCATCTTTATCTACAACTGACACTTCTAGCACCATCGGGTCAGCTGGATCATATGGTCCCAGTGGCAAAGCAGCTTGCACGGCAGCCTGAACCTGTTTTTGTTGAAGAGCCTTTTCTTGTTCTGGGCCCCACTCAAAATTGGAGGTTTTCCATGTCACTTGATAAATAGTTCAAAGTAGAGCACCCAAGGGAGGAATATGTTGCCTCCAAAATCCAAAGAGGCCCACTAGGCATTGTGCCTCCTTTTTAGTTGCTGGGGGCGCCAAATGCAATAGCTTATCCTTCACTTTAGTAGGAATATCTCGAAATGCCCCACACCACTGGACCACTAGAAATTTCACTGAGCTGGAGGGTGCCTGAACTTTCATTGGGTTAATTTCCCAACCTCTTGTATGCAGATATTGTACCAATGAATGTAGAGTCTTTGATACATCCTCCTTAGTGGGTCCAATCAGCATAATGTCATCAATATAATGGACCAGTGTGACATTTTGTGGAATAGACAGGTGATCAAGGTCCCTTCGGACTAAATTATGGCACAGGGCAGAAGAGTTGATGCACCCCTGGGGGAGAGTTATGAAAGTATTGTTGCCCCTGCCAGGTGAAGGCAAACTGCTTCTGGT